TGCTAAGTTATAAATGATGCTGTGATGGAACAGGTCTGCTTGACCTGCAGACCCTGTTCTGTTCACCCCTTCTGTTGGGTTACAAACTCCTGGAGGGAGCTATTCCACTTCCTGCCATTAGGGTGTGCTGCCACCACCTGCTCAGTTTAGGGGTCCTGAATGAGAGGAACCAGACTCTCAATCCCCCTTCCCAGTTCTGAGGCCTGGCCTCGGTCTCCTGCTACCCAGTGCCTGGTTACCGCAGAGACCAAACACAACTTTGGGTTTCCCTTGGAGGGTTGGCAATGGGTGCCTTGACCACTTCCCTCCCAATCTGGCAAATTAATAGCATGTCCAAGCAGTTGGAGGACAATGTGGTACAGAGACTTAGGGCCACATCCAATATTAAAAAAGATTTATTAAAAAGAAAGTAAGTTCAAGCACACTTCATCACAACAGACCAGCACTCGGAAGAACAAAGAAACTTTGGTTATAAACACATCCTTCTTTCCCTGGTTCTAAAACTTACTCTAACGAGATGTCACAATCAGAGTAGGTACTTACAAACTTAGAAAGTTGCAAAAGATTTTAAAGATGTCCCATTACCTCTGGCTCCCTGCATCCAGCGAGCCACACTGCATGGTAAAAGTTGGCTGCTGGCCTTTAGAACAGAGCTCAGCAGTCTGTCCTCTTCCAGCACCAAGAGACCCTCCCTCCAGGGAGAAATTTAACTTAGAGGAGAAAAGGTCAGGTGGAATAAGGTGGAGGATGTATGAGGTGAACAGATAATAAAACTGAAGTAACTTTGTATTCACACAAACACCAGATAATTTGTTGCCAACAAGTAAGTGCTTCTGCTATTCAGCAAGGTCTTTAAAACTTTGAGGAGAGAGGCTTTGTTTTCAGTTTCTGCTTAAACATTCAAGCATAGGTTTATGAGTTTCACCAACATGTGAAGTTTAGAAGTCAGGAACATACAATTAAGTTCCCAAAATCCTTCTTTATACACAGACCAGGGACCACTCCTCTTTTCTAGAAGCTATTTCCCTCTTAACTGAGTAGGGATAACTTGTCTTTCCCTCCTTTTTTTTTTGGAACGAAGATCCTGCTCAATCAACTCACTCTCTTAGCCTCCTTCTCAGTCCACAGTCAGCACTTAATGATCTCATCTTCAACTGTCAGTCCCCATCAATGCTCCCTCTAAGCTGTGGAGTCTTGTGAGCAAAAATTCTACTTTCTGAGCTACTGACATTAAAGTTGTGAGCAAACGATTTGGCTACTGCATAAATTAGTTTGCTCTGGAGCAATCTTCCTGAGCTAAGACAAAAATGTGTGAGCCAGAGGCTAAAAAACTGTGAGTTAGCTCACACTAACTTGCTGTGAAGGCCTGTCTGAATATCTCACCCCAACCTTGTTTGGGCGGCGAGCCTATTGTAGCTCACTGGAGTAATCAAATGGACCCTATGCAGCTTCAGATGGCCCTCCGGGATCCAATGCCCCCTGGTGGCTCGTTAGATGAGCAGGTAGAGGATTGGCATAGCCAACTCTCGACAGCCATCCACAAGATCACTCTCCGATGCCTTCTGCGCCCTCGCTCTAGGCTCACTCCATAGTATACCCAGGAGTTGCGGCTGATGAAGCGGGGACTAAGATGGATAGGGAGACAGTGGCGGCATACTCGTGACGAAACTACAAGAACATCTTATAGGACATTTATGAAATCCTATGAGATGGCAATCAAAGCTGCTAAGAGAAAATATTACATGGTTGCGATTACATCTGCAAGCTCACGCCCATCCCAATTATTTAGAATGATTCAATCGATTACTACCTTGCCATATGGCCAACGAAATGCTAGGGAATTGGATATTGGCTGTGAGGCTTTTGCAAGCCATTTTGCAGATAAAGTCTTGTTGTTCTGCCATGACCTCCCCACCACAGTTGATATAATGAGTGAACTCGAGGCTCCATGCATGTCTTCTAGTCTGGTTATGGATCATTTTGACCCACTCAGCCTAGAGGAAGTTGATAAGTTGATCCTAACTGTATGCCCTACCACTTGTAATCACCATCATTATACCCAGGATCTCTAAAAGGCAACCTGAACTAGAAATCTTATAAACACTTTTGTGAGATGTCTGGGCTCTGCCTTTGGGCAGTTTACAAGAGGATGGAATGCACAGGCATGGAACAGCCACCAACATGTTGCATGCTCTCCTTTTACAAACTTAACTCACAGCATAGTCATAAGGGTCCTTGAACAGTTATGAAGGTCTGAGGAGGAGGGGGGGACCATCCCCCACAAACCTTTTCCCAGTTTTTTCAATGGAAAAGCATGCACTTAGAAGAATGCAAGAATTTTCTGTTTTAGACTGTGTGAAATGCTTTCTAAGGGCTTTTCTGCACACTCGACTTACTTCTGATTTTCTTGGTAGTTGAACCACAAGCATTGGAATTGGAATCTGTTCAAGCACACATCTACCCTCCCTGAGCATTTTCACACTTGTAGAGTCAGCTTTTTTCTTCTACATGAGCCTTAAATAATGAAGATTTTCAAGGGTGGGTGCCATTGTTATTATTGTTGTCATCAGCAAAACCCCTCCTTTTGATTGTTTTGCACATGCTTATATTGGTATATAGATATCATGGCTGCATTAAAAAGTGCCACAATACTGATATAGTGTTGTAATGATAATTTAAAGCAGGTTGTCTGAATTACCAGCTTCCTTTTTTTAAAAGCAAGTCTCTATCTCCTTCCCTTGAGGAGATATAAGGAAAAAGGTATATCCCCATAAGGGAAGCAGACAAAGCCTTGCTTTTTAAAAACATTAATAATGAGAGTTCAGAGGAACTCTTAAAAAAATGAAAAGCTGGGAACTCAGACAACCTGCTTAAACTATCATTACAACACTATATCAATATAGCAATATTGTAGTGCCTTATATTTTAAATAAAAAATGAAACCATTTGTCTTAAGGGGTAGAAAGGGAGTTGTGTGATGATGAAGAAAGTCCAGTCATCGAAAAAGTGGGCTGGAGGTTGGTGGGAATGGGTGGGACAAAGAAAACCAATAAAATACTATGCACAAGGACAAAGTTGACCCAAAAACCAGCTTCCAGAAAGAAGACTGAGGTCAAAGTGGTCTCAAAAGGGGGGGAGGGGAAGAAAAAAAGGGGGGGAATAGAAAACCTGAAGCAAAATTAAAAGCACAAAGATAGGACCAGAATTGACAAAAAAAATCCCATGCAGAAAAGCCCTAAGAATCTCAAAATCGTTTCTAGCAACTGTGTCCTATGAACATATTTATGTAAAAATCTATGGACTTAGATAATGATTATTTCTGTTTATTATGCCAACATTTTCAATATGTTTATTATTTAAATGTGACTAATTTTGTCCACAATTAATATGATATACTGTATGTATGATAACACGCCACTGAAAAGGTGAATGTTTCCTGTATTTTCAAATTTAATTAATTATCCAAATCTGCTAATAGTTATTAATGTTCAGAATATATGAACAGATTCTAAGTCCCAAGTAAAAAAACCCCTTTTTTCATTTGTCTCAGAAGTTATGGTTTCTCGTTTCAATATTTATTTTTGCCCTAACCATTCAAAGGGCAAAAACTAAAATATATGCGCTTAGGAAGCATAGGCTGCAGTAGTTTGAAACTCCTCCTCTCTCTAATTCTGGGTATATTTGAAACTTTATTTCAACAAGATTAAGGCATTTATACTTTTAAACTCCAAGAAAGCATTATTTAACTTTATCTTTAGCATTCAAAAATCAAAGATGCTAAGAACTGGCAAAGGACAGAGCCTCCTCTCCTCTCCCTTCCTCTCAGTTCTTTGTATGCAATACAGATTCTAAATTTTAGCTGTGGTTGCAGATAAGAAAGAGGGACAAAAATTATGCCACATTGTAGATCATATTGTTTCATTCAAGTTGATTACATATGTAGCCTTAGGGAAGAAGGGCCCAAGCCACTTAGGTTGTCATATATTCATCACAGACACCATCCAATAGATGCATGCTATATTCACACCAAGATGTATAAATTTCTATTGCAGCAGTGGTAATCACACCACAGCTAGTTGCATTGCAACTTCTCTCAATGCTGCCTGAATTGCTACAGAAATCTGCACAACCAGAGGATACAGCCTGTTGTTGGATTCATTCCTAGGATGCAGAACTACAAGCTGGTACATACTTACACCTGCAAGTTAAGGAAGACTGAATTTCTCCCCTTACAAATCTACTTATGAGTAGGTGCTTAAAAGTGATAGGGTCAAATCCTTCCAGCCAGTGTCCTGTCCTGTTCACAAGAAAGTGGAACACATTCCTCAAGAGGTATATTCAGATTCTACATAGAACATGGCAGTGAAACAACTCCCTCATTAAAGCATTTAAAACTTTACTGCAATAAAACTGAGAACTGAAGCATCAAGAGATCCCTCAGAGCTGTAAAATGTTGGAGGCACAGCAGACAAAACTGTACCTAAGATAAACAAGTCTTGCCACTAAACAGGTTGTTGGAAATCTAGCACATTAGTGAAAATATAAATTGTTTAGATTTAAGTCTCTCCTTCCCTAAGCAAATAAACAAATAAATAAATAAATACATTTGAAATAAAACCCACTATTTAAAACTAAATTCAGAGACTCTAACAAAACTAGTCTATTATGTTTCTGATCGATATTGCTGCTCACCTAGGGTTGTCAAGTTCAGATTGGGAATTTGTATCGCTTTGGGGGTGGTGTTTGGGGAGGAAGCTCAGCAAGGATATATCACAAAGGAGTCTACCCTCCAAAGCTGCCATTTCCCCTAGGGGTACTGATCTCTGTAGTCTGGATATCAATTGTGATTCCAGGAGAACTCCAGGACCCACCTGGAGGTTGGCAACCTTATCTAAAGCCTAAATAAGTTGTGATAAAGATGAAGCAATATGGCAGCTGAATTTGCTATGCAAGGAAGAGGCTATTTTGCATTAATATGTTTTAAAAGTACATGCCCTTACCTTTTTTCAAAGCATCAAATGGAACCCAGCCACTACAATTGTTTTAGCTTCTTGATCTAAATAATAACAAACAGAAGGATGTTAACATAATATAACCCAATTAATCTTCTGCTGCCTGCTTTATTAACTCTGAATGAGAGATATAGATTTTTGCTTAAACTGAGTTTATCATTCACAATATTAATTATACCCACAGTCATCTCTGCTTGCATGTTTCTACAATTTTTGATCTTAGGCCCTGTAACCCGACAGAAAGCATGTCATTTTTGGCTTGCTTTCCATTCATTTGTCCTGGCGTCCCATCAAGTTCAACAAGATTCATTAACAATTTAGAATTTAAAATTGTCCTAGCTCCCCCAAGTGGCAGTAAGTATTGCTCAAAATTTATGAGACCCACACTATAACATGAAACTTCAGCGAAGCAAGGTGATGCTTATATCAGTTTGCAATCTCACCATGAATACAATGTGGCAAATATGTCAGCCACCCTGAGCCTGCTTCCGGGAAGGGTGGGATATAAATCAAAATAATAAATAAATAAAATAATATGCCCCTAATGTAACATGACTTTTGTTCATCATGGCTTGGAGTTCCTTAAGAAATAAGTTCACCTTCCTCAACATTCTTTAGTCCTATTATGAAATAAAATGTTTTGATTTGATCTAGAACTCAACAATAGTTTCAGTATTAATTTGCTTCACATGATTAAAACATCTGACACCCTATGGCTGCAATCCTATGCATACTTGGGAAGAAGTTTCATTTAACTCAGTTGCAATTACTTCCACGTATAGACAAACAAGATGCAGTTATCTCCTGACCTCCAATTCATACAGAAATCCTGTTTTTAAAACCAAATTATTCTCTTCCCCTCAATCACTGAAATCCATATCCTATGTTGTAATTGCATTCCACAAATTCAACCTGGCTAAGGAAAGAAAAACAATGAACATGTTTCTGCTCAAGAATCTAGACTCTAGGCTTTCACCATCCCAGATTCTAGGAGCTTTAATGCTCAAATAGTTGTGTATATTAACCTGCTGGTCAAGTTAGTAAACAAACAATAGTTGCATACTTTCTTGACTCGCTCACTCCTGGGGATCAACAACATAAGGGAGGGATTGTCAAAATTAAAAATGATAACATATATACACAATACAAGTGTATGAATTGTGCATTAATCCTCGAGATCACCATGGTACTGTAAACGAAATTAATGATCTTACTTCTCTCTAAACACTTTCAACAGCACAAACAAACCCAGGCCTGATTTAAAACAACAAGTGGCCAGAATCTACAAAAATGCACATACTATTTTGAACAAAACGAGGGTTTCCCCCACTCCCAAGCATGCCTCCTAACAAGCTGCCCATGAAAACTAGAGGACCCCTCCAGAGTGGTAGCTCATGTAGTACAAGGGCTGCCACTAGAAAAAGAGCTGATGATCTTCACCCCTTCCCATGCAAGTGCATAAGTGCTATGCTAGTACAGTGCATGTGCGCATGCATATACATGCACAAATGTGCACACACATACAAGCCTCTTTGGATTCTTGCCTATACATACCTGTCAAATTCCCCTTTTACTGAAAGCAATATCCCATCCCCAGTTTGCTAAAATCCCAAGGTTCTATGCCATGAGAAGCACAGAGAGATTCTATCTTGCATCAAACCAGAGAATCATGCCCTGACCTAGATAGCCCAGGCAAGCCCGATCTCGTCAAATCTCGGAAGCTAAACAGGGCCAGCCCTGGCTAGTATTTGGATGGGAGACCTCCAAGGAATACTGGGGTTGTGATGCAAAGGCAGGCGATGGCAAGCAACCTCAGAATGTTCCTTGCCTTCAAAGCCCCATTAGAGGTTGCAAGAAGTCAGCTTGACGATGCAAAAAAAGAACAACCCAGAGAATCATGATCAGGCCTATGCACATTTAAAATGTCCCTCCTGAGCAAACAGCCAGTTTCCTGCAGGAAAGATGTAAAGGTAAAGGTTTGCCCTGCTCGAAAGCCAGTTGAGTATTTGGGGAGAACTCAGGGACAGCCAATTAATTCAACAGGTAATAGATTCAGGAGAGTTGAAAGAAAAGCATTGATTTGCATAACAAATAATTTTTGAAAGTTACTACCAGCCAGTGTTGAAATTGCTGCTACTTCTATAGCTTTAAAAAAAGAATTAGACAAATTCATGGATGATGACCAATAGATCCATCAGCGGCTATATGTAAATAGAACATACAAGTAATAAGCTGTATCTCTCTAAATGCCAGTTGCCTGGAGGGCACCAACAGGGAGAGGATTAGACCTCTGTATCCTTTTCTGTGGATTTTCTGGGCACCTGAAGAAAACAGGATGCTGGCTGAGATTCAATAAGTATATGTTCCAATGTAATGGCTATAATTCACTCCTATGGAAGAAAGTCCTATATTTGTGGTCACCTCTGTTTAATCACAACATCTTAATTTGGCCCTTGTCCACAGCACTCGATAATTCTTTCTACTGTTTTGTTTGGCACAGTGAAAAACATGTTGTCAATCAGTAATCAATAACTAACCCATTGCTCTGACCTGGATAACCCAGGCTAGCCCGATCTTGTCAGATCTCGGAAGCTAAGCATGCTCGGCCCTGGCTAGTATTTGGATGGGCAACCTTCAAGGAATACCATTATAGATCTATAAATAGTGGCACTTCACCTAACTTGGATGGGTTTATTTATTTATTTATTAACAACAACAACAACATAGCAGTGTGTGTAGTATAGCCAGGAGCTCTTAAGATTGTCTGGCAGCTATAAGTTTTAGCTCTTTTAGTGTGATGAGCTAGGCTTGTTTCTAAGGCAAGAGACATTTCAGAGGTGGTTTGCCATTGCTGCCTCTGTGTCATACCCCTGGTATTCCTTGGAGGTTGCCCAGTGAAGCTCTAGTCATATTTTTTAACTATCACTTAATATAACCTATCAACACAGCTTTGTTCAGGACTCATTCAATGGTTCCACCTGTGGTCCAGAAGTGAAATGTGTAGATAAGAACATCAATCAATTTTCAGTTTTCCCAATACGCATTCTTTCCATAAACTGTGGGCCACTGTTGCCCCACCTTGCTGCCTTCACCCTTGGCTAAGGCTGTGATGTAGAAAGCTCCCTCCTGCAGAATTGTGATCCTCTCTTTTCACACAGGATCGCCTGAGAATGGAGGTACCTCTCCAAATAAAAGGTTTTCATGGACCACTGCACTAAGTAAAAGGTTCAACAACACTACTGTCACTTCTTCTGCATGTCACCAAACAAGAAGTTACATCAAGATAAAGAATTTTTTTTTATTGGTGCAAGTCTCTCAGAAATGGAAGTTTCTTCTCTTCTCAAAGGTCCACTCAACCTGAAAAGGTTACCCCTGCTACCATCTTCTTGCATCCCTATGACATGCAGAAAAAAGGAGAAAGGACAGCAATTACAGTAATCTCCAGCCCATTCCCATCTGGAGAAGTGGTGTAAGTTGAACTGGTAAGATATGCTCTTGGGGGCCTCAGGGCTAACTGCATCACTAGGCTACCTTGGTCCCTACATTCAGATTCAAGGAAGCTGCTAATAGCCAAAGTCATCAATAAAAGAGAAAACAATTCTAAAAGAGAGTGAAAGAAGTCTCGCCTTCGTTTCTCCTCTGCCCCAAAGTATAACCCTTCTCCACACAGCTGTTATGAGTAACTCAGAAGTGTCACAGAACTCAGTCCTACACACACTTAAAGGTAAAGGTTCCCTTGCTTCTACACACACTTAAAGGTAAAGGTAAAGGTTCCCTTGCTCGAAAGCCAGTCGCATCCGACTCTAGGGTTGCGGTGCTCATCTCCGTTACAAAGCCGAAGAGCCAGCGCTGTCCGAAGACGTTTCCGTGGTCATGTGGCCGGCATGACTAAACACCAAGGCGCACGGAACGCTGTTACCTTCCCACTGAAGTGGTACCTATTTATCTACTTGCAATTTCTTGCTTTCGAACTGCTAGGTTGGAGGAGCTGGAACTAGAGACGGGAGCTCACTCCGTCATGTGGCACTCGGGTTTCGAACTGCTGAACTACCGACCTTCCAAAGCCTGCAGTTCAGCGTCTTAACCACTTGAGCCACCGCAGCTCCTACACACACTTACTTGGAAGTAAATTCCACTGAAAACTTAGACGCACTTTCTTCCTAGTTAAATTTGTCCACAGATCTCACTCTCTTGACATATTTCCCTTTCCCAATAATAAGTTCAATTCATTTGACAGCACAACTTCAAGACTTCAACAACCATCACAACAAAAAATTCTGGAAAGTATGGAAGTCCAGGCAAGCAGGCCAAAGAGATCAAACTTCAGGTCAGTGAGGCCAAAAAGGTGGGCTAAGGTGGATGGGATTGAAACATTGGTTCTTAGCTGAAGGTTCCTTCTCTTCCGTGGGGGCGAAGTCATCCAGGACTAGTTAGGTCATGCCTCTGCTCACTCAGATAGGGCTATGCAAATTTTTGTGTAGCTTCTATTGGAGAGTTCCCAGGCTGACCCGTCAATCATGTCCAAGCCCTACTCTTTCCACGTTTAGTATTCTCTTCACCTCGCTTTTCAATCATCCATTCAATCTACTCCAGTCTCTGACCTCTGACTTTGCCTTTCCCCTCTTTTGCCTCTTCTCTTTCTTTTTGTTTTTTGGTGGGTGGGTGGAAAGTGGAAGACTTTGCCCCAACTGAAGACAAGGAACCTTAAGGTAAGAACCAATGTTTCATTCTCCAGTGGGGGAAAGTCATCCAGGACTGGTTAGCTGTACCCCAGTTGTGATGGGGGTTTTTTGGGGGGGGACTCTTGTTTGACATCAACTACTTGTTGCAGGACCCTTCTGCCGACGGACGCTTCTGCTGATGATGTTTGGTCTATTCTGTAGTGTCTCACAAATGTTGAGGATGATGCCCATGTGGCAGCACTGCATATTTCCTCTACCGTTGCTCTAGTGGAGAAGGCCGCCATAGTTGCAGCTGCTCTGGTTGAATGGGGTGGGATTGCTCTTGGTGGCCTCCGCCCCTGCGCTTCATAAACCTTGGTGAT